TGTCAGGGAAAGGGAACATCAAAACATACAAATTACATACATATATCTGTCACTCTGTTTCAGTCACTGTATATATATATGGGTGAGTGTATCTATCTATCTATCTATCTATCTCAGTCTGTTCATTATCTATCTATCTATCTATCTATCTATCTATCTATCTATCGATCGATCGATCTCAATGTATTCTTATATGTCTATAAATCTGTCTATGTTTGTGTCGAAGTATAACAGTCGGTATATCTCTATTTATCTTTTATCTATGTATCTCTCTATATATATGTATATATATATATATATATATATATATATATATATATATATATATATATATATATATATCAAGTATGTGGTGCAGTTCAATTTACATTACATGAATCATTCATTTTTGAATGAATGATATATATATATATATATATATATATATATATATATATATATAATTAAGTTACGAAGAACTTGGTAAACCGAATGGGTAATTCCAAGGAGGATGAAATCCTGAGAGCTCAATGTGAATACAGAGCGAATATTTAATGAAAAAAAAAACAGACCACTTTAAGGTACCATTACAATAATTTATTTCACCAAAATCCTTTTTAAAGAACTTTCATTTCGTTGTTGGAATTGTTACCTGATGATCCGGAGTCCTTTAAAAGGATTTTGGTGAAATAAATTATTGTAATGGTACGTTAAATTGGTCTGTTTTTCATTAAATATATATATATATATATATATATATATATATATATATATATATATATATATATATATATGAAATGGGTAGTCCGACAATTATTTATAAGACATTTTTGTGTTTATACATTCTTTTTATAGATACAAATATTTAAGTAAATGCTCTGTTTATAATAAACAGTATTGAACAACATTTACCGGCCTGAATGTCCGAGAAATTTTCATAGAAAATTTTCATCCTCCGACATGAATCGAACGTGTATCCTATACGGAACTGTCATTTAGCTTGACGTGCCTTCACCGTTTTGGCCACAGAGTTAGCAAGGTCGATTTTACTGTCTTTAAGCTCTCACCTACATTCATATCTGCCCATGGCGTATCCAAATGTAAACAAATATCGTCACACATTATGAAATGGACAAAGTCCGACAATTATTTTAAAAATATTTTTATGTTTATACATTCTTTTTAAAGATACAAATATTTAAGTAAATGCTCTCTGTTTTATAATAAACAGTATTCAACAACATTTACCGGCCTGAATGTCCGATATATTTTCATAGCGTCCGGTTAGCAAGATCGATTTTACTGTCTTTAAATCGATCTTGCTAAGTGGACTTTTTCAACGAAATGAATTCATGCAGCGTCTGGGCCCAAGAATTACTTCAAAACAAAAAAGCTGGGATAAAATAAAATGCGAGGCCAATTTTACTAATTTGGCGCCTAGCTCAACGCAGCTCTTCTGGCTCTTCATCTACCGGTACCCTTCTAGATGATGAGTGCCCTTGGGTCGGAGTCGCGATCCGTCTTGGACTCAAATTATGTGAGCGTCACAGATGCAGATGTGGAGCTGCCATCGATGTATTTGGTTTGCATCTTCTCTCTTGTCGTCGTAATGCCGGCCGCTTTCCACGGCATGCAGCAATAAACGACATCATCAGAAGACGTTTCGATGCAGCTGGGTTCTCTTCCAAAATCGAACCCGTAGGCCTCGACCGTGGAGATGGAAAACGGCCGGATGGCATTACCATTTTCCCTTTTAAAATAGGGAAGTCGTTGATTTGGGATGCGACCTGTGTAGATACATTTTCGGCCGGTAATTTGATCAGGTCCGCGGTTGAGCCAGGATCCGTCGCCCGGGACGCAGAGATGAAAAAAATTTTCTTCTCTTGCTTATAGATTTTTAAAAAACTCCTGTGGCAGTGGAGACATCTGGGTTTATTGGCCCCCGTTCGATGGCGTTCATTCGGAGGATTGGCACGATTGCGTCTCGATTAAGGGACGAGTCTCGCGAAACGGAATGGCTCTTGCAGCGTGTCTCACTGGCGATGGTTCCAGGAAATGCTTTCTCCATTATTGCGGCTGGAAGAGGTTAGAAAAAATTGTTTACAATTAATTTATTGAAAAAAAAGTTTGAACAAAGTGTTCAAACTTTTTTTTCAATAAATTAATTTTCTGATTATAAAAAAAATATTAAACAAAGAAACTAATAATAACAAAACAAAATGTCCTTAACTGAAATTACGTCAATTACTGTCACGTGTGGAGATATTGTTATTATTGCTGTGTTGACAGATTCAACCATTTTCTTTAGCTTTCTTGATGCTGTTATGTACGTTTGTTTGGGAGAGTAGTTAACCTGTAGAAGAAAACAATATTTACAAATGTAAAAGAGAATAGGAAAACTGTAATAGTTGCCGACGCGTTTCGTCCGATGTGTGAAAGAGAATTAGAAGACTTTAGTGAAGGGAAAGGACAATAAAAGAAGAGGAATTAAGAAGACAGAAGATAACGATTGACATTGCATTGAAATTTTGGAAGATCAAAGTTGACTGGAAAGTAAGAAGAGTGAAAGAGAATTAGAAGACTTTAGTGAGGGGAAAGGACAATAAAAGAAGAGGAATTAAGAAGACAGAAGATAACGATTGACATTGCATTGAGATTTTGGAAGATCAAAGTTGACTGGAAAGTAAGAAGAGTGCAAGAGAATTAGAAGACTTTAGTGAGGGGAAAGGACAATAAAAAGAAGAGGAATTAAGAAGACAGAAGATAACGATTGACATTGCATTGAGATTTTGGAAGATCAAAGTTGACTGGAAAGTAAGAAGAGTGCAAGAGAATTAGAAGACTTTAGTGAGGGGAAAGGACAATAAAAGAAGAGGAATTAAGAAGACAGAAGATAACGATTGACATTGCATTGAGATTTTGGAAGATCAAAGTTGACTGGAAAGTGAGAAGTGTGAAAGAGAATTAGAAGACTTTAGTGAGGGGAAAGGACAATAAAAGAAAAGGAATTAAGAAGACAGAAGATAACGATTGACATTGCATTGAAATTTTAGAAGATCAAAGTTGACTGGAAAGTAAGAAGAGTGAAAGAGAATTAGAAGACTTTAGTGAGGGGAAAGGACAATAAAAGAAGAGGAATTAAGAAGACAGAAGATAACGATTGACATTGCATTGAAATTTTGGAAGATCAAAGTTGACTGGAAAAGTGAGAAGAGTGAAAGAGAATTAGAAGACTTTAGTGAGGGGGAAAGGACAATAAAAGAAGAGGAATTAAGAAGACAGAAGATAACGATTGACATTGCATTGAGATTTTGGAAGATCAAAGTTGACTGGAAAGTAAGAAGAGTGCAAGAGAATTAGAAGATTTTAGTGAGGGGAAAGGACAATAAAAGAAGAGGAATTAAGAAGACAGAAGATAACGATTGACATTGCATTGAGATTTTGGAAGATCAAAGTTGACTGGAAAGTAAGAAGAGTGAAAGAGAATTAGAAGACTTTAGTGAGGGGAAAGGACAATAAAAGAAGAGGAATTAAGAAGACAGAAGATAACGATTGACATTGCATTGAGATTTTGGAAGATCAAAGTTGACTGGAAAGTAAGAAGAGTGCAAAGAATTAGAAGACTTTAGTGAGGGGAAAGGACAATAAAAAGAAGAGGAATTAAGAAGACAGAAGATAACGATTGACATTGCATTGAGATTTTGGAAGATCAAAGTTGACTGGAAAGTGAGAAGTGTGAAAGAGAATTAGAAGACTTTAGTGAGGGGAAAGGACAATAAAAGAAAAGGAATTAAGAAGACAGAAGATAACGATTGACATTGCATTGAAATTTTAGAAGATCAAAGTTGACTGGAAAGTAAGAAGAGTGAAAGAGAATTAGAAGACTTTAGTGAGGGGAAAGGACAATAAAAGAAGAGGAATTAAGAAGACAGAAGATAACGAATGACATTGCATTGAAATTTTAGAAGATCAAAGTTGACTGGAAAGTAAGAAGAGTGAAAGAGAATTAGAAGACTTTAGTGAGGGGAAAGGACACTAAAAGAAGAGGAATTAAGAAGACAGAAGATAACGATTGACATTGCATTGAAATTTTTGAACATCAAAGTTAACGGGGTAGCAATAAGAAAATTATCTAGCAAGGCATATTGAACCAATTTTCTTCACCTGTTGTGTTAGCAACTGATTCAATCTACAATTTCCACTTCATGTCATCTGAAAACGTTAGTTTAAGTTCTTTTAATCCTTATTTTGTTGTTTATACTCTTTCTACTCTGGATGGAGCTAAGATGAATTCTAAGTTTTGTCATCGTCTTTTAAAAACAAAGCGATATCAGCATATGAAATGTATTTAGTTGATCACGTCATTCACAACACGGAGTTGGCCATGTAATTTGAGATATCTACTTACTTGATCTTGTGTCATCTTTTAATAAATTGTTCCTAGCTATTATGAGACACACGTACTTTGATCACTCTAGCCATGGCCATTTTTTTTTTAATTTATTACACTTCTCTAAGGAAACATCATTCTATATACATCAAGTAGAATTCCCTGTGAAAATGTCACGGTTTTCTACTTTAATTTTCTGATAAGTCTTAATTCTTTAGTTTGATATTTTTAATCATTTCACCCCAAGTATGGTGAGTAGGCCACTAGTACGCGGGTGTGGGTACAGGGAGTGAAGGATAGAGATACAAGTGAATATAGAGAAGATCGAAGAAATGATAGATGGCGATCGACGTTGCATTTAAATTTTTGAACATTGTAGTTAACAGGTTAACCAAGGAAACGGAAAGGAAGTGTGAGAAAAGAAACTCTTGGAGTAGGAATGGTAACAACATTTACCTAATTCAAGTAATTGAGTAAGGCTGTAAAACGCACCATTCGAGTCTTAATGATCAAAATAACTATGACTAAGATTCTCGTTGATTCGATGAAGGACGTCTCTCCATTGATCTGTTTACATTTTTTTTTTCATTTTTACTGAAGAAAAACACAGCTCGACTTCACTTGTTAACAGCATACCACGTTGAAAGACCGGTTTCCGTATGATCACCGAAGTTAAGCAACGTTCAGCCTAGTCAGTACCTAGATGGGTGACCAACTGGTAATACCAGATACTATAAGCATGGATGTGCGGAATGGGAAATCACTCGGAATTAGAGATTGGAAAGCTGAGTTCGAATTCCGGTTGGGATCGTTATATTCACTTTTTTTTTTGTTCCATCATTTCACCCCAAGCAAGGCGGGAATGCCGCAGGAGGTTACATGGAGTGAAAGTAAGAGAAAAGACTGAGTATAGGGAGGATTAAGGAAAGGATAAAAGATGAACGGGAATCAAGAAGATGGCGATTGACGTTGCATTTAAATTCTTGAAGATTGTAGTTATCTGGGAAGCATGTAAATGGAAAGGAATTCCACATTCAGAAAGTACGAGAAAAGAAAAAGTTGGAGTAGAAAGGGCGGTTACATTTAATTATTTCAATCTAGAAGCACCCTTAAATTCATTTAGTCAGGGTACCAGGGAAAAGCTCATCAGAGCAGTTGCCATAAAATATTTGTAGAAAAGACAGAGGGAAGCCACATCACGTCTGTGAGCAAGTGACTGAAGTCGAGATGCCAAGTCAGGATCGTTTACATTGCAGATCCTTCATTCGATTTTTTCAAGAACCTCCAGGGGAGATGACAACAGTATTCAATGCCCGGACGAATGGTAAATTTGTAAATGTGCAAGATGGGCTCTGACAAGAAAAATCTTCTGGCACGACAGAGTGACCCAACTTCCTTGCAGTAGATGCAGCTATTGATTCAATGTAGTCGTTCCACTTCAAGTTATTTGAAAATGTGAGACCAAGAAGCCGCAGTGTGTTGCTATCCAGCAGTCAAGTGTCAGTGATGGCGGGCAAGAAAGTTTCTCTATGGTGGTTAAAGTGATTCTCTAAGCGCTGCTTAGATGTGGCACAAGGCTGAAAATATAAAGCACCTAGTGAGGATCGAACTCACTACTCAGCCGTAATTGTTCTAGCTAGACAAGCTTGCTAATTATTACACGACGCCGACGTGCCTGCTGTGCTTAGCCACTAATTGAAGGGCCTTTTCAGGAGCAACGACCAGGGTGATTTTGACAACTCTGAATAATTTGCTATTGAGATATGAGTAGATGCTAGTACCATCAGCATATCTGCCTACTTGGGAACTGATGACAACAGAAAGATCTTTGGTGAAGATCAGAAACAGCGTAGGATCCAAGATAGAGCCTTGGGGGTCACCCGCGTTCGTGTAAAAGGAGCTAGAAGCGAGCTCGTTCAAAACGACCTTCATTTCACGATTTGATAGTAACGATTGGATTACATCAAATACACGTCCAGTAACACCCTAGCCCTGGACCTTGCCTAGAAGACCAGCATCCCAAACCCTATCAAACGCTTTCGAGATGTCTAGTGCTTCGCCGTTATCATCAAGAGCTTGATATACATATTCAGTCATGGCCGTTAGCACATCAGCGGTAGACATGGCAAAACGGAAGCCATATTGTTTGTCAGAGAGTAAGTCTTGAGAGGTAAGTGTTGAAACTTGACTAATGCATGAAATAATAATGCAACACAAAATGTACTTAGAACAAAATGTATTGAAACAAGAAAGTGTACACAATATTTACATATAGTCTTTTATATATTCCTGGTAAGACCGTTCCTGGAGAATGCGTTGACTGAGTCGCAGTCGGGCAGATTCTCTGGTTCAATCTCTTGATTCCTTCCTCTCTTTCCGGTACCAACCATATTTATATGGTCGGTACTCCACTATGCAAATTAGGTGGATCCTACCACAACAGTAAAATAGTTAACCATTTCAGCATTGATAAAAGCCTCAAATACTTTGCCGAAAAGTAGCAGGGTGATAGTTAAAGGGGTCAAAAGGTTCTCCAGAGTTCTTAAAAACAAGAACTACAGAGGAGGACTTCTAACAAGCAAGAAAACAGGAGGCAGCGAGATAATAGTTGGAGAGTTTGGAGAGAACTGAAGCCAGCTCGGAAGCACATTTCTTCAGGACGATGACTGGTATCCTCTCAAATCCGCTTGCCTCATGGGTATCTAATTTAGAAATAATGTCTGATACCTGTGAGGGGTTATGCACATATCAATAGTAGAGCCTCTGTTCTCTGAAGGAAATCAGGTGTGGGTACTCTAATTGAGTCGAGTCATTCAGAACGACCTTCATTTCACGATTTGATAGTAACGATTGGATTACATCAAATACACGCCCAGGACCTTGCCTAGAAGACCAGCGTGCCAAACCCTGTCAAACGCCTTCAAGATGTCTAGAGCCACAGGTCGAGCTTCACCGTCATTATCAAAAACTTGATATGCATATTCATTAATGGCCTTTAGACTATCAGCGGTAGACCTGGCAAAACGGAAGCCATATTGATTATCAGAGAGTAAGTCGTGAGAGGTAAGATGTTTAACACTTTCAGCATTGATTAAAGCCTCGAAAAAGCGGTAGGAGGCTGATTGAGTGATAGATGGTCAAAAGGAACTGCTGAGAAAGACTTCAAACAATCAGGAAAGCAAGAAAAATCGATGCAATAGCTGTAAATTTTAGAGAGAACTGGAGCCAGCTGAGGAGCATAATTCTTTAGCACGATGACTGGGATCCTGTCACCTCTTGTTGACTTATTGGAGTTTAATTTAGAAATGTTGTCCAAGACCAGTGATGAGGTTATACGTATATCAATCAGTAGAGCCTCTTTTATTGTAGGGGAATCAGGTGTAGGTACGCCAATTTGAGCCGAGTCATGAGTTGGAAGAGAATTTCCGAGCAAAGCATTCAACCTTATCTACTGTATTTGCCTTCAATTTTCACTTTTATATTTATATTTACATACGCTCTATCCCTGATATTGAGCACTTTATTCCATAAATATAGCATACATTAGAACTATATTTCTTCATATATATATATATTATATAGAATATATACAATGAATATATATATATATATACATAGAATATATACAATAAGTTCAATGTACAATGTTTACATGTTTGTGTATGTGTGTGTGTGTGCAGAAATATTTTTATTATATTCGACTTTGTCTCAATCGGTATGATAACGTGACATTAAAAAAAAAAAAAAAATAATAATAATAATAATAATAATAATAATAATAATAATGTTGATAGCAAAATAAACAAGAATTGTACATGACTGTGTATGTGAATATAAATGTGTCAAGTAGCCAGGTACAAAATATTTTTTTTTAAAACAGATTGCATATATATATATATATATATATATATATATATATATATATTGTTTGAGGCATGTACATTCGTGTGCCATTCTTACAGAAAACAGATATGTGTGAAGAAATCAAAATCAATTTAAAAGTATCACAAAAAGAAAGAAAGAAAGAAGAAAAGAAAGAAAGAAAGAAAGAAAAAAGAAAGAAAGAAAGAAAAGAAGAAAGTGAATAAAAAGAATAAATAAAAAAAAATAACTGGAAAAAAACAGAAAAAAAAGGAAGAAATGCTCAAAAATACTTTTAAAAAGCAATTTTAAATCCACATAAAATAAAAAAAATATAAAATAGCCGGTTCAAATTGAGCAAATGGAATCGAGGGTGTGAGGATGAATTTTGTGGAGGGTGTGGCCTGATTTGGTCGGGGTAAGCCATGGTAGATCGGAGCTGTTGGGGTCGAGATGAGCATAGTTGTCTTTAGTGTGGCTGACTGGTTGACGTTGTTGAGATGGTAAATATATTCACGGCACGTTCTCTTCTCTCGTCAGAGATTGTAGCGGGGAAGTAGCCGCTTGATTCCTAACGAGATGTGTAGACCCCAACAGTCAATGGCTATTCCGATTCTTTTGCTCCAATCAAGGACGACAGAGAATGAGATTAGAAACAACATAAAGATTGTTTCAAAATGCATGTTCCGAACGAGATAGATAGATAGATAGATAGGTAGATAGAGAGAGAGATAAAGAGAGTTGAAGAGACTGAAATAGAGAGAGAGAGAGAGGTGAACATACTGAAATAAATAAAGAGAGAGATGAAGAGACTGAGATAGATAGATAGATAGATAGATATCCTAGTCTCTTCATTATCTATCCCAGTTTGTTCATTATCTATCTATCTATCTATCTATCTATCTATCTTTTCAGTTTGTTCATATCTATCTATCTATCTATCTTTTTCAGTTTGTTCATATCTATCTATCTATCTATCTATCTATCTATCTATCTTTTTCAGTCTGTTCATATCTATCTATCTATCTATCTATCTATCTATCTATCTATCTATCTTGATAGCAATCTCAGTATGGGCAATATCTATCTATCTATCTATCTATCTATCTATCTATCTATCTATCTATCTATCTTTTTCAATCTGTTAATATCTATCTATCTATCTATCTATCCTAGTCTGTACATATCTATTTCAGATATAGATAGATAAAGAGAGATGAACAGACTGAAATAAAGAGAGAGAGAGGTGAACAGACTGAGATAGATAGATAGATAGATAGATAGATAATGAACAGACTGAGATAGATAGATAGATAGATAGATAGATAGATAGATAGATAGATAATGAACAGGCTGAGATAGAGGTGAACAGACTGTGATATAGAGTTGAAAAATAAATATATAGAGATAGGTATGAACTATCTGAGATAGAGAGAGAGAGAAATATAAACAGACTTGAATAGATAGATAGAGAAATGGAGAAAGAGAGGTATGAACAGACTGAAATAGATAGATAGATATAAATGATTAAACTGATAGCTAATAAATAGACTAGATTATAAGATAGATAGATAGATAGATATCAACAGAGTGACATAGATAGATAGATAGATAGATAGATAGATAGATATGATGAAACTGTTATATGTAGGTAGATAGAGAGAGAGAAAAAATCAGACTGTGATAGATAGACAGAGATAGTGAGAGAGGTGAAAAAACTGAGATAAATACATAGATATGAACAAACAGTTATAGGTAGATAGACAGATATGATGAGACACATAGATAGATTAGATAGATAGATAGATAGATATGGGCAAACTGGGGGATAGATAGATAGATAGATAGATAGATAGATAATGAACAGTCG